GCTCGATGGCGGGGTGGAGGCGAATAAGAGACAGGACATTGTCAACAAGTTCAACAGCGATCCCTCGTATGACGTGCTCTTGTTGACGACGAGCGTAGGAGGTCTGGGTCTTAACCTTACCGGTGCTGACACGGTTATTTTCGTGGAGCACGACTGGAACCCGCAGAGAGATTTGCAGGCCATGGACCGAGCTCATCGCATTGGTCAGAAGAAGGTTGTCAATGTCTACCGACTGATCACGCGCGGAACGCTCGAGGAGAAGATTCTGAATCTCCAGCGGTTCAAGATAGACGTGGCCTCGACAGTTGTGAATCAACAGAATGCAGGGCTATCGACCATGGATACAGACCAGATTCTGGATCTCTTCAACTTGGGAGACTCTGGGCCGAGTCTCATATCCGACAAGCCCAAGGACTCTGGCATCGATGGACGTGAGGAAGACATGGTGGACCTGGAGACAGGCGACGTTCGCCAGCCAGGCAAGAAGGCTTGGCTGGACGACCTGGGCGAGCTCTGGGATAATAAGCAATACGAGGAGAGCTTCGATCTGGATGACTATATGAAGACAATATCATAATAGCGGCGGAAGGGGACTATATTATTTTAATTGTATGCTGGGCGGCTTGCTTTGTCACCGAGAGGTTGCGACACACAGGCACCGTCCTTTGTAAAGTAAATATGTTACGAGACAATCGATTTAAATGTTGCTAGCAGTATGGATGAATGCAAACATGTGTCGCTGTGAAATGTTGCCTAGAAAAATTCCATCCCATGCAAGGGTCAAGGGACAATGCCTACCCTTGAGGAGTGACGCATTTGCAATCCAGAGGCAGCACCATCCCCCGCCCCCGCCATTGCCCTGAAAAAGAAGGCAAGGCTTCGCTGCTCCATAACAAGGCGCCTCGTTGGTCGCCCACCAGTCCAGAAGCTTCTATCCTGCTGCGCTCACATGATACTCGGGTATTTGATCTCTACTTCGAATCCGGAATCGAACCTGGACAAGTTCTGTCCATCTAGGGTTCCATACGAATAATTTACCGACCAGCCATCCCGTTCTCCCCAAGCATGCCTGTCGACTACAGCAAGTGGGTTCGTGCTCTGAATTTATTAACCTGCCAATGCACCCGAGTACTGCTGTCCGCTAACTTTCGGGAACCAATTCATAGGATGCTCTGGAGCTGAGCGACGACTCGGACATCGAGGTCCACCCCAACGTCGATAAGCGATCCTTTATCCGGGCGAAGCAAAACCAGATTCACCAGGAGCGTCAGCAGCGCAAGCTCCAGATCGAGACCCTCAAGTACGAGCGCATCATAAACGATGGCCTCGAGAAGCGAATCTCATCCCTGCTGGCCGCCCTCAGGGCGCGGTCGTCGGAGGCGGCGGACCGGAACCCCGGGGAGGTCGCCTTCAAGGCCGTGATGGAGTCCGTGGGCGACCCCAAGGACGACAAGCCGCCCGCGCCGCCCAGCGGCGTGTACACGGGGCAGGAGGAGCAGCCGAGCTACTCCAAGATGATGATGACGCTCCTGGACCAGGTCAACCAGGCCCTGAACGAGAAGAACCCGGACGACCGGTACGGCGCCATGGTGGAGGAGATCGAGGGCCACGAGACCAAGGTGAAGAACCTCCAGAAGGACCTCGAGAAGAAGCTGGCCGAGCTGGAGAGGGAGGAAGGCAAGAAGATTACGAGCGAGGGATACCACACGGGCTTCGACAGCTCCCACGTCAGCAAGGCTGCACCCGTGCAGCCTGGCGAGAAGAAGAAGGAGGAGCCGGCCCAGGTTGAGCTTCTCAACCCCAACTTCCAGGCGTCAGGATCTTCGCAAGGGACCAAGGCGGCCATCGACGACGATGAGGAGATTGAGGCTTCACCTGCAGGGAAGAAATTCGCCGAGTTTAGCTCGCAGGATTACACGGCGAGCGCCCGGTTCTTGGCCGAGAACCCTCAGATTCTGTCGGAGCGCGAGACGGATGGTATCTTGGTGCTGGCATTTGATGCGGCGCTGGAGGGCAAAGACGACCTCTCCAGGCAGTACGTTCACCAGGCGCTCCTCCTGCAGTACTGCCGCTCCCTCGGACGGGATGGGGTCGGGATCTTCTTCAAGAGGATCACTACCAAGGGACACCAGGCGCAGGAGGTCTTCTACAAGGATGTTCAGGATACATACACGAGGATCAGGACGCGCGCGCGGGAGATTGTGGCGGAGAGGGCCAAGGAGGGCGAGGCCGGCGGCGTTGAGCAGATCCAGCTGCATGCTATGGAGCCTGGGACGGTGATCCAGATCAACGTGCCGTCGGCCGACAGCGAGGACCCGGAGGAGAAGAAGGCCCGCGAGATTTACGACACGTTTGCCCCAGAGATGAGGAAGGCTCTGGAATCGGGGACCCTGGATGCGGTGAACAAGGTTCTTGGTGAGATGGCCGTCCCAGAGGCCGAAGATCTTGTCGCCCTGTTTGGCGAGGTATGTTTTATATCCATCGTTCTCATCTCCTCATTCTGTCTAGTTGGTGAGTTAAGAAGACTGACTGATTTTCTTTTCGCCAGGCAAATATTCTCAGCTTGGAAGAGCAGATCATCGACGCGACAACGGAGGAGGGTCAGCAGCAGCTGAAAGAGATGGAGAAGGCAGCAGCTGAAGAGAAACATTACTCGGATCCGGAGTAGGATAATGCATGTCCACGAAAAGGGGGAGGGATGAATATATATAACCAGTATACATATGATCATAGTTCACATTCTCTGAGCAGAGCATTGGGAACACTACGGCATCAGTGAAGGCATGAAAACAAGCATGCATGAATGAGATGATGACTATTTAACGAAACACAATGCTTAGATATTCAGTATGCAACCTCGTGTATTTATGTGAAGCCAATGAGACACTCAAGTGGATTGCATAAGATTGGCACATAAAGCTTCTGCGTCGATATTCTTGGGTTTAGTCTTCTTAACTACGTAGAAATGAGGTCTCTACCTTGCATGAGAGAGCAAGCGACCGACATAAAACATGGCACACCTAGAACCTCCAGTGTTGAATTTCAATACAATATCAGAACAATTAACCAGTAATCAATATCATATTGAGCTAAACATTGTAGAAGATTTCTCTAACTTTCGTTTAGTATTATTGATAAGAAAATGGGGGCCCTGACTTGTGTTAACACTGGTGTGCCATGGTTTATCCCAACCGCTCGCTGCCTCACCAACCTCATGTTTTGTGGTTCGATGGAGGCACAACACCACAACTATGATTCATCAGCGATAGATCGACACGATGTTCTGGCACGAGCAGGCGAATGCCTCCCCTACATGAGAGCACATGTAGGTTAATTACGAGGTGTGCCTGGGCAACTGGCAGCATTGCACAAACAAGCTTGACAGGGGGTACGAGATGGCTTTCCGGTGTGGTCCTCTAGACCAACCAACTTTTCATTCCCTATTCGCCGACGCGCACAGCCGCCAGGAAAGATGGAGAAAGAGAAAAGCTTCGCTTTCGGATCCTGGTTTATTGACTCCTTTTACGGGGGTTGTCCCGGGGTCCGGTTCTCGTATGTTTCTACGAACAATTTAGGCGCTACCCCTACCATGTAGTTTGGAAGATTACGTATATACGTCAACTGGGCTGTGTTGTACGCAGAAGTAAGCAACGGCGCTGTTTGGACACATGCAGCGCTGTTTCAAGAGGGGACAGTAAGCCCTACTCAACCGCCTCGCTGTGGTTTACAAATCAAAATCAGAGTGAGAGGAGGTGGTTGCTGTTTGCACTATGATGGGTTGATGCAGCAACATGGGACTGGATGATCAGTCTGGACACCCTCTTCGGCAATTCAGAAGTCATCGGCGAGGATCGGCAGATCTCACAACACGGCGCCAGCGATCAATGTCACGCTAGCACAGGAGGGAGCAGGCAAGGGAGGAAATCACCAAACAGGCTGCTGGCTTTTAGCGCTCGTTTTGGGCCTGATACCGGCAGCATTGATGGATTCCAATTCCAATACGTAGGCAGTATGAGCGACCATTTCTGATACAGTGAAGAAGGACAGTGTCCCGTCTCCACCGACTGTGTTTCAGACGGTGGCTGGGCCTGGGCGGTACACGTACTGCATCCCATCTGCATCTAACCTCGCACGATCCAGCACCATGTTGCCGTTGCTGCTGTTAATAGAACACGGGAAGCCCTTGTGTGTGTGCCGCCACGAAAGTCTATTGGGATGACCGGCACTCAGCAGCCCCGGCTGGAATCCGTAAACGCTTCGGGGAGCCGGTAGAGTTTGGATGGATTGGACGCCGTTTCAGTGTTGTTCGGACAGCTGAGCAGCCACTGCCTCAGCTGGCAGCGCCTCCTGGTGATCTACGCCGACTGATGGCCGCTGACGTTGGTCCCCGGGGCGCAGCAGGGACCCTAGAGCCCCCCCAGAGGGGCCCCTAGAGGCTTCTGGCGGTCCTCGAACGGGGGTCTGCGAGGCTGAGCCAACGGCAGCGCAGAGGCAATACGGGGCTGTCCCCACCGCTGGAACCCACGCAAGCCACGGGCTCCTTGATGGGTGGATGGGATGCCTTCTGGTTGTGCATAGCGCATGCAGGTGGGTGCATCAATGGACCCTGTGAAATCATCGCTGCTGTACGTGCATGCTGTGCACTCGTACGTACTGTGCCTGAGAATAACAGCGGTTCCACCAGCTGACGAACAGATCAAAGCCTTTGCTTTCACTAACCTCCCAACTTTCTTTGCTCTTTCTTTATTATTAGAATTGCATCTCCTTCCCTTCCCTTCCCTTCCCAAGGCTGTCTGTCCCATCTTTCTTTCCTATTTTCGACCCTTTCATAGCTTCACCTCCATCGCAGCTACCGAACGGTATTCAAGTCGATTCAGCCTTCTTCCGGGACGACCGACCGAATATCCAGTTGATTCTTCTTTGTCTCTCGGCCATTCACCTTCTTGACGGATAGCCTGCTGTCGCTCTCGATCTTGGCCAACACTTCAATACCAGACACCATGAAGTTCTTTTCGTTCGCAAGCCTGGCTCTGGCCGGAGCTTTCTCATCAGTCGCTTCCGCTGCAACGGCATGCAACAACTCTCCCACCCTTTGCAACCGCAACTACAACAACATCACATATCTTGGTGGCCATAACAGTGCCTTCTTGCGAGACGCCAGCACCGACAACTCCATCTCCGGCAACCAGTACTTCAATGCGTCAGTGGCACTCAGCGCCGGCTTGAGACTGCTGCAAGCTCAAGTCCACAAGGAGAACAACACTCTCAGACTCTGCCATACCTCCTGCAGCCTCCTCGACGCAGGCCCTCTCCAGAATTGGCTCGGCGATATCAAGTCCTGGATGGACAAAAACCCCAATGATGTCGTGACCATCCTTCTCGTCGACTCGGACTCTGCAACCACTGATGAGTATGCCAGCGCTTTCACTGGTTCCGGCATTAGCGAGTACGGCTTCACGCCTTCGGGTTCGTGGCCGACGCTCCAGTCCATGATCAACAACGGCACGCGCTTGGTCTCCTACGTCACCGGCATCACAGCTTCGTCGAGCGCCCCCTACCTGCTGAACGAATGGAGCTATGTCTTCGAGACCGCCTACAACGTCATCTCGCTGACCGGCTTTAACTGCACGCTTGACCGTCCCACCAAGGCCGGCACTGCCTCCAGCGCCCTCTCGAGCGGTCTTCTCGGTCTCGCCAACCACTTCAAGTACGCCACCGGCGGAATCCTGCAGATTCCCGATGTTGATAACATCAATATCGTGAACGATGCCGGCACCTCCACTGATGGCAACATCGGCAAGCACCTGAACACCTGCAACAGCGAGTGGTCAACTAAGCCAACATATGTTCTTGTCGACTTCTTCAGCGAGGGGAACCCTCTCGATGCTGTTGACTCTTTGAACGGCATTTCCGACGTGACGGGCCGTACCGCCGCCCCAGCTAGGTCAAAAACATCTGGTGTCGCTCGGCCTTCAAAGCCCTTTGAATTCGTCGCCATTCTTACCTTTCTCTCTGCCGTGCTGATACTTTGCTAAGCAAGGCAGTGTGTGGTATGTGTGGAAGAGAAAAGACCCCCCAAAAACATTTGATTTGGATGCTACGCAAGCAAGCATACCACATCACATCATTTCCCTTGATTTATCCCATAATAGCAATGCGCTGGCCGAGATCTGTGTACCCTGTTCATTTTTATCTCCTCACTTGGCGTGTTTTCATCTCACATTAGAGCCGACATCTCTCTCTCTCTCATTATCTTGTTTCACACTCTCCTTTGGGTTAGCACTTAGCGAGGCGTTTTGGGGTTGATGATCCTGTCCTTTTTTTCGGACTGGACTGGTAAAATGCTGGAGGTGGGCTGGATTATCATATAGCCTCCTCATCTGGACAGGCAAGATTAGAATAGATGAATATATGGACAAGCAATGAAGACTTGTTATCATCCGAATCGCGCTACAAGCATATGTGTATGGTGTGAAGTATGAGGGAGCTTGCGCCCGGAAATGCTCCTAGGCTGACCTTTGCTGGTCTCTATCTTGAGCGGGGCTGCAACCTCCGGTTAAGTCCCGACTATCTGGTCCGCGATTGATTCCGAAGCAACGCTGCTGGACCTCACCTCCTCCGTCGTGCTCTTAAACGTGGACTGGACTTCTCCCTCTGTCGCTACACATAATTTTAACTTCCGCGTAAATGAGTTGCTCAGTCTGGGCAGCTAAGCTCACTCGCCCGTCGGCCGCCATCTTTTCCAAGCATTTACGCTTACCCTGCCGGCCTCTTGTGCTCCCAGCAACCGCCATGGATTACTCGTCGATCCGCACCCCTCAGTCCTGCTATGCTGACTTCTGCCTGATCCCGGTACGTTTATACTGAGCTTTCGTCGCCCCCCTCCCCCCAGTAAATCTTCTACTATCCCATGACAACGCCGAGACAAAGAAATACATGCTCACAATGGATGGATAGATTGGCACGGGCAGCGTCTCCGTGGCTGCCGAGGTTGCCGAGGTGCAGAAGGTGCTCCGTGAGAGCGGGCTCAAGTATACGATGCATTCTGCCGGGACGACCGTAGGTGAGTTTTGATACCCACGGATGGAAAACCCTTTGGTCCGCTGTTGCCTCCCCCGTCCCATCCATAAAAAACCCCGGCTTTGCCATCAAAACTTGTCTACTTGGAAATGATCTTCTGACTGGGGGCCTTTGGATTTTTTCTAAATTTAGAGGGGAGCTGGGATGAGGTCATGTCAGCCATTGGGAAAGCCCACGCCGTGGTGCACGAGCGAGGCGTGGTGCGCGTGCAGTCATCCATGAGGGTGGGTTCCAGGACGGACAAGAAGCAGACCGCGGAGGAGAAGGTGAAGAGGGTTGAGGGGCTGCTGGCAGAGTCGGAGAAGAAATAGAGGGGGGAATTAAAAGCAAAGCAAAGGAAAAAAGGCTGTGAAAAGGCGATATTGGTTGTTGTGACAGGGAGTCTAGGCCTTGGGTGGTTTATCCTACAGAGATCCTGGGTTCGAGACAGCTTTCACGTTTCAATACTCTAGACTTTGGCTTCTGCGCTGGAATAATGCTTTTGCTGGGTACTTCTAGACATTGCGGTGGAGTACTTTGGCTGTGAGACCGTCGCCCAAGTCAGATGAGAGCATGTCTCTGATGACTGATATATCTGCATGGCTCATGCGTGTCTGAGAAGGAACAATACCTGGATGAGTGTACCATAAACACGGCTCATCAGATCCAAACCGTCCCAATCAGTGGTTGTTCTTCCGGACCCCGTAAATTACGGGGGACATGGCTCCTCCCCACGTCGCCGCACCGGCATCTTATCGCAGATCCAGCCGCTATCGAGCAGGCTACCAGCGCAGCGACCGTCCTGCTGACAACCTCAGCTGCTCTCGAGTCGACGCCCCTCCGACCTCATCCCTTCCGCTAACGACGTCCATTCCCACCACTGAGCGACTGAAACATCAAGCGAACTAGTACTGCGCTTTCTAGATCGCGTCTCTCAGGCAGCTCTAGACCCGCCCCGAGGCTCCCGCCCAGCACGAGGCAGTGTGACCAGCCTACTTGGGAGACGCTGCCTGATATCTACCCGCGCCAGCTCTTGCATCCGTTCAACACTCAGACATCACGAAGGCCATCCCGCGTCCACCTACAACGTGAATATTCAGGGGATAGTTCACTCGAAAAGCTCCGTCGTCCCTCCCCTCAGTTCCGCCATCTGGGACCATCCCACCAGCGCAAATGGGTAGCTCATTATTAGTGCGGTCCTCCGCCCGAGAAGACGACCGATCTCACGAATATGAGCCCTTAACGGGCAACGATGAGGTCGAAGCCCTCGAAAGCTCCGCCGTGTTCGAGGACCACGAGCAAATACCATTCTCATGGTTCGAGTACGGCATCTTCGCCCTTCTCGGGATGGCCATGCTGTGGGCATGGTGAGCTACTCCCCTCCCTTCTATCCCGACGAACGCGATGGATGATACACGCTTGGGAAATCAAGGCTAATCAATCTAAACGCAGGAACATGTTCCTAGCCGCCGCTCCGTACTTCTCCTCCCGTCTAGCAAGCGATCCCTGGTCCCAGACCAACTTCCAATCCGCCATCCTGGCAGTGTCGACAATGACGAACCTGGGAGTCATGCTCCTCCTCTCCCAGATCCAGAAGGGCGCCTCCTACCCGTACCGCATAAACATCGCCCTCGTCATCAACATCTCCGTCTTCGCCCTCCTCACAGCCTCAACCGTCGTATTCGTCAACGCCGGCCCCCGCCTGTTCCTGTCCTTCCTCCTCCTCATAGTTGCCGCAACCGCCTGCGCGACCGGCTTCATCCAGAATGGCGCCTTCGCCTTCGCCGCCAGCTTCGGCCGCCCAGAGTACATGCAGGCCCTCATGGCGGGTCAGGGCCTCGCCGGCGTCCTGCCCGCACTCACCCAGGTCGTCACCGTCCTCGCCTTCCCCCCAGCCAGCGACGAGGCCAAGAACGGGAAGACAGACTCTGCCGCAGACGGCCAGTCCGCCGCCTTCTTCTACTTCCTCGCCGCCGTCCTGGTCTCCCTCGTCACCGTAATCGCATTCGCGCCCCTCGTCCGCCGCCACAACCAAATCGTCGTCGGGAGCCGCATGGCCGATTCCACTGCCTCCATCGAGGACGCCGAGCGCGCCTCGCGAAAGTCCGTCTCCCTCTGGCACCTCTTCAGGAAGCTGCACTGGCTGTCCCTCGCCCTCGGCATTACCTTCGCCGAGGCCATGTTCTTCCCCGTCTTCACGGTGAAAATCACTTCCGTCGTGCCCATCGACAACGCCGGCGCCCTCTTCCGCCCCGCCGCTTTCATCCCCCTCGCCTTCTTCTTCTGGAACCTGGGTGACCTCTCCGGCCGTGTGGCCACCATCATCCCATTCCCTTTAAAGAAGAGGCCATTTGTTTTATTCATCTTATCTCTCGCCAGGAGCGGCTTCATCCCCCTCTATTTCCTGTGCAACATTGGCGGTCGTGGCGCCGCCATCTCATCAGACTTCTTCTACCTTTTCATCGTCCAATTCTGTTTTGGTCTCACAAACGGCTGGATGGGCTCCACATGCATGATGGCTTCTGGGGATTGGATCGAGGATGAGGAACGGGAGGCCGCCGGCGGCTTCATGGGTCTTTGCATTGTGATTGGTCTGACCACGGGCAGCTTGCTGAGCTTCTCTGTTGCCAGCATCTAGAATATTACCTTAGAGAGCGTAGCATATCTTGGCATATTTGAATTACAAGTCTTACATTGTTCTGAAAAGATTATTGGTTGCTGCTATCTGTGAAGAGCTTCTCGACGGTAGTCGCACTTAGTTTGAAGCAACCATGTATTTGCCATCTGTTCCTGACACTTGGCAATATGCACACTTTATGCCGTGAGGCGGATCTACGCTGCAATGAACCAAAATGCAACCTCCCATCTGTATGTGTATCCCTTGGTATAAAAAGCAATTTCCCAAAATGCCCTCGACGCCTTTGAAATATCCAGTATTTCCATGTCTTTCGGCCGTGTCTTCCAACATGTATGTGTCGGATTTCGTATCAAAAATTAACAAAAGAGAGGGGTGTGTGAGTGCGAGAGAAGATGTGTGAGAATAAGTGAGAGTCGGAGCCAAAATGGCTGGCTCTATTGGCCGTTCAATTATCCAGATTGCGAAGGCTGCTGATGCTAGCCCTTCTGCGAGCCTTCTGGTTTTCTGACTTTGTAGTGCTCAAGGCACTTTTCCATAAGATCGACGTCTGTATTGATAGAATGCGTCATCGATTTCATCGTAGGTGGTAATGAATCCACTCCATTCTTCTTATTGGGCTCTTGGAGATGGATAACCTCCAATTCCTCCATGGGCCTTGACGGGCGACCTCGTTCGAGATAACACTTGGTTGGCGGACGATAGAATTGGCCCCGGCAGTAGATCATGTCGGCAGTGTAGAATCCACCCTTGATGAGCTGCTCCTCAATAGTTCGCCAATAAGTAAGTTTGAACTCTGGCATCTTCATGTCGAAGTCCCCAAACCTGATTTTGAGTGGTTTGAACGAGTCTTGTTGCTGGGTTGGCGCAGTTAGGACCTGGGCGAAGCATGTGCAATCCCGCAGCGTCATAGCGAGAGCAAACTGTGCATCTTTCTTGTCCGCTTTCAAAGGTCCAACGTGGTCGTTTGCTTCCTGGGCGAGCCGGAGAGTTTTGAAAGCTGGCTCATTTCTCAGTACATCCAAGGTGCTATTGAGTCGCTTCCTTCTCTTGTCGGTACTGGGCACTCTTCGACACACGGAATCGGTGAATGCAGGGTTGCTCGCATCATTCCCAATCATGAGTGGACAAGGTTTAGCCTTTGTTGGAACAGGTTTTCCAACTTGAGGATCGACTATGTAACTGTAGAGCTCCTTGGCGCATTGCCTGCAGCGAATGGCATTTTTGGGGGCGTTGGGGGACTGGGACAGCCACTTTGGCTTAAATTCCACCAGTATTGTGGTTTCGGGGTCTGAGATAGTGAGTGAAAGGTCCGGATATGAGAATTCGAAGGGGTGGGAAGGGTCGCAATTATTACCATGAGGTTGCATATCCTCTACGAGAAACCCCCACTCAGATGGCTCTATGAAGGTGCCTCTGAACTTGAGGTCTCGTTGGTGATCAATTGCTCTCAGATAGTCGTTGATGGGGTCAATGAGGTTCGCATCACGCAGGATCACAAGCTCCTGATGCAAAATGTAGGATCCAAGAATGGGCTTGATGTGAGTACAATAGTACTGGTACTGCTGCAAGTAATTGAAGCGGGGGCGATCGCCATCAATTGGAGCCTTGGCGACTCGCAGTAAAAGACCTAAATGGAGAAGATGCAAAGTTAGATCAGGAACTATGGAAAAGGCTGATGGCGTGGCGATTGCATTGGGCTCATATTGAAAAATGGCCCTCAAGCAGAGCACCCGCGCAGCGCATTTCGGCGAGGGAGAGGTGAGTCAACGAACGAGAAGTCTGGTGGTAGAGATATGAGCCATCTGGAAGCACAAGTTCGAAGACGGCATTAGCAGCACCCTCTCCGACCAAGCGGCCAACCTTGCAGCCAGGCGGCAGAAGCCTCACTCCCTTGCCGTATGGATCTCCATTCTGAGGGGCAGGATGATGCACCTCGCTTAGCTGTCTGAGATGATCCATATCCTCTTGCGAGATCCATGCTTCATCTCCGCAGACCGAATAGATGGAGCAGGATGGGGATGACGCATAGCCACGGGCTGCTCGCGGCGAAGCTGGCCGAAGATCGATTTTTGGGCTGCTTGGTGTTATGACAGCGGTTGGGGAGACAAAGGGCTTCTTCCGCCATAGAACCATGACTGGATTGGAGGGGTGGCCTTGCAGGTCGATGCAAGGCACGGCGGGGAGCCTGCAAGGTTTAGTTCAGAGCAGGACAGCGGAGGGTTGGAGAGACGGCGAGGGTATTCCGAGGCAGCGCAACGCCAGACGACAACATTTCCGCGTAGAAACCAACGAAGGGATATCCTGGTGACGATAGGGAGAAGCGAAACGGGGCCCAGGAGAATAGAAGTCGAGACGGGTCCGGCACTTTTAGCAGACGCAAAGCTGTGCTCTGCTGCTATAATAGTCCATGACAATTTAATAACGCCGGCGGTATAAGTAGAAGTATGGAAGGGTCTGGGACTGGACTGACTGAATTGAAACTGCACGGAGCCTAGACAGAGAAGGCGCCGCCCCGTAAAACCTTTTTACCTACCTCCTCCTACCCAACAAGCCTCCTGGCTCCTGCCCGCCGGCCAGTCAGTCTACTAGCAGCAGGAGCGACCTGACCTGCACAACATATCTACATCCGTCCAGTGGGTTACTGTACTTAATCCACATCGTCAACCCCACCACCATTTGGGTACCAAGTACCAATACTGGCTAACCAGGACCAATCTAGCCCAACAGGCGGTGACCATTGCACCGCGTGTTCAGTCTAGGCAGCGCGCTTCTGAGTGAGCGTGGGAGAGGAAGCGGCCCTTTTCCCCTTCGCGCTCACCTACTGCACGACCGACTCCACGGTGATTCTGGATCATATTACCATCCACCAATACTTCAGACCGTCCGGCTGATCCAGTTCGCTCACAGGAGGACGACATGCGTAGCCCTCATTTGCCACGTAATTTTACACTAAACCCACCACGTTGATCACTCCTGGCCAGTCGCATCAAGCCATCGAGCCATGATTGTGCCGTGACGAAGAGCTCTGTTTTTTTTCTGGCAGGTCGCATGTACCAGCACAGAGGATATCGGAATCAGGAGGCCGACGACTGTTCATTCCATAAAAACGGATGCATTACGCTATTCCCTTATGGAAGCTAAAAGCTCGGCAGACCTACCTTGCGTCTGGGTAGAGCCTCTTTTGGGCTGATTTAGCATGGGTGGGCTGCCTGCATTATGTCATGGCCAATGCTGCAATAATGCTTTCGGCACACATTACCCTGGTACTGCTGCGTGGTGAGTGTGGTGTGGGCAATACAACGAGACCACTGATTAATATTAGCACAACATGTAAGTGGCCGGGCGACGGCCGTCCTGGCTCCTGACGCAACAACCCACGGAGAATTACGAGTGTTCTCTTGGCATCATCTGTGCTCGCCTTTCGCTCAATATGTCAGGTCCATACCTCCCTGGTGCTTGGCTTCTCCAAGTCGCACGCACCCGTTGTCACCTAGTGCAGAGATCCATATTTACCCAGACAAGCAAGTCTACCTTGAGCCGCGTCTCTTTCTTTTGATAAAGCAGTGACACGGGCACACACCTGGTGTGAATTCTCTGACCAGCCAATGTTAGCCTGCTCACCTGTGGTCCCAAGGTGGACAGGATGATCATGTGCCCTGCAGACATTTACCTCAATTTCGGGATGTGGGAGGCCTGCACAACACCCGCTGCAATATGATTAGCCGGCTAGTGGGCTATGTTCTGCCTGGATTTTACCTGTGCAACACAACAGCACCGAGGAAGCACTCTTGCGTCGTATCTTTGATGGCGCCAAAGGAAAAAAAGGTCCATCCGGATTAAACTGTTGGTGATTGGTCCCATGGGGAAGCCTTTTTTTTTTTTTTTTTTTTCCCATGTAGTTTCCCATGTCCACTTTCACCCTCCTCCCCTCCCCTCTTTATCTCCCCTTGATACCCAGATCATGAGACGATCTTATCATTTTAGTATGTATTAGACGAGCGGGCGATGGTACTAACAAATTAGTAGACTACCTGCGGCCAATGCCATCACACAGTGCTTAATTTCTATGGACAGACCAACAAACTCGTTGACTCACGATTAGTATTAGACTGAGTATCCATAATTGCAAGAGGGATTGGAAAACATCAGCTTTCCATTCCCATCACTCAGCATTGTGCACAGGGGACTTTCCTTGCCTGCTCAGCATAGATGACGTGTGCATTCGCAAACCACGCCCTGTGGACGCTGGGTAGATTCAGCTACAGACCACACGAGAAGCGACTTGGCAGCGTTTCACCTGGGCGGGCATGCCTACAGATGATTGATTCTCGGGACCTGTTCTTCTTGTCTGAGTTTATATGCCTCTCCTTTTCTCCGCCGACCTCACGCGACCCAGGACCCATAAGGTTGCCAAACAGAGGCCGTGACTTCTCCGCCATAAGCGAGCTGGGTGGAGAAATGGTTGCCCTACCATGTTACCATGTGTACATGGCAGACGCATATGTAGGTATGTGCTGAATGCGGGAAGCTGACCTCAAGCAACCACACCAACATCCCAATCGCACAGCCAGGGGAACGCGGATTCGCCACAGGATGACGGTGTTTCCCCAAAGGGCAATTACAGCCTCAGGAAAGGGTTACGCAACCTCACTGCCAAGGTGCTGCATATACTCCATGCTGTCTTTGTAACATGGGGGCCTTTTTTTATCTGTGCATTTCAGCGCGCGCCTATCGCGCACGGGTTCTTCTGTGCTCTCGCTCACAAGTAGGTTGGTTACGCGAGTTTATGATGGCAGTTGCCTGCCAAGTCTCGATCCATTGCCAAGTCCCGACACATGACCATCTCAACGGAAGACGGCATCTCCCAAGAAACACAAGGCGGACGTGCGTGAGCCACCCCATGTGGACTATAAGGCACAATGGGATCCCACCATAACGTAAATGATGCCATTTAATCCAACGTCGTGTTGTAGTCCATCCCCTGGCATGGGGTCCGTTTTCTCTTTGTCCGTCCCTCAGCGCGTAGAGGGGGTTTCGCCCGGGCCCGGCCTGGCCACGGGCCGGATCAGCCTTGGGAGGGTTGCGTGCGTAAAAAAAAATTCTCGTGCGGTATCGGGTAACCTACTGATAAGGGGGCTGGTATCGGAAGCGACCCTTGCATTGGATGAAGGGCAGTGGCTGTCTCTGCAAATGGATTCATCCCTGCACATAACGGACTACCGGGCGCTATAACACACCGCAGACCTCACCGCATAGCACAGCCATCAGTGGCGTTCAGTGGTCCAGTGCTCCGGACTTAGGGGAGCACAGCGCACTCCGGTTTCACCCACCTGCTGAAAGCTTCCTGAATCAGCTGGCGGTGAAATTTCAATTTATTCCTGTCTAAAAAAAGTCTCCATAATATCATCATCAATCATCACACCCTACTGTCACACGAAGCTTGTAAAACCTATACCGAGCGGCATCTCAACGTTCGCCATTGTCTCGAAACGCATCGATTGCGACAAGCGCCAGCGAAATTACCTGATTCTGCGATTTTCCAGCCATCTCGCCGACCGACCGATCGTTCCGTAGCGACGCATCTCGATCCATCGCTAGGGCGCGCTTCAACAGACCTCAATGGTCGCGAGACTTTAATAGCCATTTAACATGGCCTTCAACTTCAACTGGTCGCCTCTGACGGCCGACGCTGAATTCTATTCTCGAGCGCGCGACCTCCTGACGAAAGCTCTGAATAAATCTCCCAAGCCGCCCATCATTGTCGATGACATCCTCGTCGACGAGCTCAACCTGGGCAATGTGCCCCCGGACTTGGAGATCCTCGAAATTGGCGATCTGGCCGAGGACAGATTCCGTGGCATCTTTAAAATGACCTACTCTGGCGACGCGTATCTCACGCTTAAAACCCGAGTTCAGGTATGCCTCTTCTCTTTCAATCGCTCTCGTTTTTGCCGTCCATTCTCTCTTTCCCCCTTCCATCAATCCGCCTTACCCACCCGGTCGCCCTTTGCGCTGGAGCTACCGAGGAGCCATTTGCGACCGGATCCCGGTAATGCCCGACTCACCTCACCGTACCCCCCGCGCTCTGGTTCGCCATGACATCCAACCCCATACTATGTCCATCGCCTCATGGCCCTGGAATCGTCCTGTTTCGGGTATCTCGAGCCCAGCATGCCTTTGTTTGGATGCACTGGTTGGCTCTTTCGGCCATCTTTGCATGCGCCCCATGCCGTTGGCCCCCTGACCGAGACCGTTTGCCCGTTCATCTGCAGGCTCAAAGTCTATCTGGCTGTGAACCATAGAATCATGCCATATACACTCCTCCTGACCTCTTACTGGCTTAATCGCCCCTCACCCCCAGTGAGATCATGGTGGATGATCGGAGGAAGTCGTCCCTGGTCACGTTCGTCCCGTTCCCAGACACATGTTCTCGCCGCTAAACCCAGACCAAATTCCCGAATGTAACCGCCCAGTACTGACCTTCGACGTAGGCCAATCCTCTCAACACCTATCTCCACTCTAAGCCTAGCTTCACATCTCCAAAGCCTCTTGCGGCTGCTTCATCACTCACCATTCCTATATCAATTACATTGTCTGAAATCAAGCTGTCCGCATTTATTATCTTGGTGTTTTCAAAACAGAAAGGCTTGACGCTCGTCTTCCGCAATGATCCCCTCGAGTCTCTCAAGGTCTCTTCGACCTTTGACTCCATCCAGTTCGTTCGCGACTACCTGCAACGGACAATTGAACAGAAGCTACGAGACTTGATGATGAACGAGCTGCCTGCCATTATCCATCGGCTATCACTCCAGTTATGGTGTCCTGACCAGGCCAACAAGCCTGGTGAGTATCCTGCTGATGAGGTTGATGAAAAAGGCGTGGATCCATTCATCAGTCCTCCCGACGATCCGGTAGATGCCAATGGGAATCTCTTGGACGCGAATGCTCTATCCGAGCTTACCCTTCAGGGTGCCGGCGATGCGCAGTCTCTCTTTTCACAAAAGAACCTGCTCCGACTTGCGGCGCTCACCGACTCACACCGCACCCTGTCGTTGTTCACCCCTGGCATTCGTGATGTTGTTTTCAGAGCCTGGACGGGTCATGGAGACAGGTCAGAAGCTATGACGCCAGCA